GGGATATGCTGCTGAAGCCCCTATAGGAACCCCCTATAGGAACCCCTGTGTCAGCCTGGCAGTGGCCCTCGGGCTGCGGGGTAACGGGACACGTTTCCCTTAATATCCCATACCGGGAGATGGATGTCCTCATCTCAGAGGGGCTGTCTGCTTCACATGGCCTCCAAGCAGGGGGGGTGGGGAACGGGCCTGCCCCGGGCAATTCCCTTGCAGTCTAGCGCGGTGGAGCGTATTTATTCATCCTTCCCAAAGGCCCTGTTGGCTTTGCTGTGGTTCTGTTTGTTTTCAGTCGCTGCCGGTATCCAAATGGGCGAGCTTTGCACTTACCAAAGTATTTCCGTCGTAAAGCGCGATCTCTCCGCTGGTTGCGCTGCCGGGATAAGCCAAGTAGGAGTTGGCGTGGTTGATCGAGAGAGCACACAGACCTGGCAAGGCGAGAAGGACACAGCTGAGGCTGTTTGCTGGTGCAGGACGGAAAGCAGAAACGCGGCCATGGACACTGCAGGGGGTTCAGGCTCTGTCTCATTTTGGGGCAGTGTCCGGCACTGGGCACACAGCGGCTGCGCGCTGGCAATGCCTGGGCCGTGGGGACACCTGCTCTTATGGGACAGTACTCTTCCCCCAGCCACCGTCCTCCCCCAAACCCTGCTTAGAAGGAGCCCAGGTCCTGCTTTTGGGCAGCTCTTGGCTTCTCCCCCTTAACCATCTCCTTTGAGAAGGCAAGAATAGGTGCATGAAACACAGCAAGGGACATCTTGGTCTCAGGACTACCGGGACTCCTGTCCAGGCACATCTGGGCACCTCCAGATGTGCGCAGGGTGTAGGGGCCAGGTCAGAAGCTCAGATGAGCAGCGCAGCGTGGCCGCAGCCCCGGTGTGAAGCCTGGCACATGAAGGCTGGCACGGCAAGGCAGCGGCCGTGGGGCTGGGCAGTGCTGTTTCCTTTTTCTCTGAACAGAAGAGGGAAGCAGAGAAAGACAACGGAAATGCCACGGGTGTACAGGGAGTTTCCGGCTGACAAGGGACTTGAACCTAGCTAAATTTTAACCACAGGGGGAATTCTTCCCCATCTGGTGTTACGCCAGTGTGAGCATAAGGGTTCCCAAACACCCCTTTCAAAGTTTGCTGGAATTACAGGATGAGGCAGGGATGGATGGATGCGTGTGTGGCTACGTCCATCCGCCTGTCCCCCCAGTGACCTCGGAAAAGAGCATCTCTTCCTGCCTCTCATTTCTGCCGCTGGCTGGGGACCCATCCCAGTGAATCCTGTCACATACAGAAACGGGTCTCGCTTGCTTCCTGCACCACATCCGCGTGCTCGCAGTCGTCCCAAATCCAACTCAAGGCTTCAGCATGACCTGAGCTTCCTGGCCCCCGCCGGGGGGGTCCCACCTAGTCCCACGTGCGGAGGAAGCTGCGGGGTTAAAGGCTGCTGGGGACGCTGCCATACTCCCCAAACAGGACGCCCGCACGCGTGCACGTATGTGCACGGACACGCACACATGCCGTGCAACCCGTCGTGTCAGGACACGGCCCTGGCCCAGGCTCAGCGGCAGGGAAGGATGGGCTGAAGCTCTCGTTTTAGGTCATTGTTTATATCTAAACAAAGAGACCGCTGCGGAGCCAGGAGCTGCAGGATCGGCCAGGGGCCCCAGGGATCCACTCCCTATCAATCAGAGGCATTTACATCATGCCAGGGACGGCACGCGTCGGGGAGAAGAGGCGCCGCAGCAGCAAAGTGCTGGCAATTATCAGGCACCAAAAAAGGGAGGGACAGGAGGAAGGCAGGGATAGCTCGGAGACTTTGCTCATGATGAGCGAGGGTGTCTTTTCAGGATGGTCTTCCCCCAGCCCAGGCAGCACCGGGGGATCAGCGCAGCCCGTTCTCCAAGTGGAGGATCTAGAGAACGCTCAAGCTAAACAAAGCAAGCTCTGAGCGGCTGGTGTGAGTCACCCGCTCCCTCTGCTCCACGCCTGGCTGGGAGAGGCGGACGGGAAACCAGGCCAGGGGAAAACACAGATGCGAGTGTACTGGGCTGACCTCAGGATGCACAAAGAACAAGGATCACAAGAGACGTGGGCAGCCTTTGAAGATGCTCCTCTGCTCTCGGTGGCCCCACAGCCCTGACGAGGGTCGGGGCATGCAGTGGCAGGCGCAGGAGGGAGGAGGCAGGCTGGTCCTGCTCCAGGTGGCACCTCTGGGAATGCCATATCGCAGGTGGCTTCCTCAAGCAGCATGGAAAAAAGCTACTGTGTCCAAGAAGCCTGGCCTTGCCCCCAAGCCAGCAGGTCCAGATGCATCTGGGGCTTGGGGGGAGCTGTGTGAGGTGGTTACCAAAGCTGCAGTCACCCCCGAGATGTGCCCTCATGGCACACATGTCACCATGAGCACTGTGACCTCCCTGGTGCAAATCCTGCCCCTGACATGAGCTGCATGAAAACCAACACAAGAGAAACAACAGGCATGGCCAGGGTGGGCATTTTCCTTTCCTGCATGGAGAAGGCTGGACCAGGAGCCAGGTCCTGGCCAGGAACAGCCAGAGATCTCACTGCAACTGGCCAGTGGGTATGCGGCAAATCCCAGTCCTCACTGTGCTGGTGTTACCATGCCCAGGGCTCACAGTTTTTGGGGGGGG